CACCTGGCGGGGCCAAGTGGCGCCCTCCACGAGCCACACTGCCCGGACGCCAGGACACAGGCGGCGGGAAACAGAAGCGGGTCCCGCTCGGCCAGCTCCGGTGGCGGCCTCACCTGGAAACTGCTGAGGGCCACATAGACCTGGCTGCAGCCCTCGTAGGGGCAGTGGAACATCTCTAGCAGGCCGTCGGCATCCATCACCCGAGTGCGCTTGCTCCGCCGCCTCCTGGAGGGGAAGGGGCCCATGGCATCAGGGCTCCCACGCCAGGCAGGCTGTGGGCCCGTTGGCTGCTCCTCATCCCAGCCCCCAGCTGCCCGGGCACCCACTTCTCGGGCTCCTTGGGGATCTCATAGATGATGGCCGACATGTCACTGCCGTCCAGCTCCTCCCCGTCTGCCTCGGCTTCGGGCTCTGCGCTCTCAGGCGCTGCCGCCGCCAGCTCTGGGGCCACAGGCTCCTCCTTCTCCTCTTTCTTGAGCACATACAGGTCCTCCTTCTCTACGGGGGGAGGTGGACACAGGGCGGGTGTCCGTGGAGGGCCTGCGTGGCGGAGGAGTGGGCTCCGGGGCCACTCCTCCCCACTCCCCCCACCTCCCAGAGACCGCGGCAGCCCCCCTGGACCTGCGCGGCCCCCAGACCTTTCTTGGTCTCGATGCCTGCCATGGCGGCAGGGTCCATGGTGCTGGGCTGGCTGCCCTCGGGCTCCGTCTGGGTGTAGGCTGCTACGCCCTCCATCACGGCACAGGGCACTTCGTCCCCCAGGCCCCCGCCGGGGGCACCGCTGCCTGCTGCCACGTTGAGGTGGATGCCCTCGGCCGTGAGGGCGTCGTAGCCGGGGCCTGCGATGATGATCACCTGCGAGCCGGGCACCATGCCTGGCACGGGACAGCTGGCCACCACCTCGCCCAGCGCCTCCTGGGGCACGTTCTCAAAGAGGGTGCCGGGGCCCGGGCCCACTTGCACGGGCACCGGCACACACACCACCGTCTCCAGGGCTTCGGGCCCACTGCCCGCCGGGTTGGGGCACAGCGGGGCGCCCTGCTCTGCCAGGCTCTCCACGTGGTGGACGTCGAAGGGGATGTGCACACCCTCCTGAGTGATGAGCCCGCTGCTGCCCGCCGGGCTGGAGGGGGTCACTGCCGCGGCCGCCACGGCCGCTCCCTTGGCCGGTGGGCCCTCGGGGGGCTCCTCCGAGTCAGAACCGGAGCCGGAACTAGAAGGGTCGGAGCTGCTGGCCGCCAGGCCATTGCCCACTGTGGCGACAGAGGAAAGGAGACAGTTACGGTAGCAACAGTGGCAGCAGCAGAGGCGTATGCTGAGTGCTTACTACGGGCTGGGCACGGTCACCCCCTCAGTGCCACAAACATCGGTCACTTCTCAGTTACCCCC